GGCTCAGGGAGAGCGATAACACATAGTTGACAAGTTAACTCAAATATCAAGCAATTTTTACTGAGAAGATATTTCGTCTGTGTATCAGAATTATTCAAAATGATGAGTAAAAACATCTGCTTAAACATGCCGAAAAATTCAGATGTGAGCAGGTAACTTGTCGGGGAACTGAGATAAAGTCTGTGAGCAGGTAGGTATTATTATTATTATAATCAAGGGGGAAGCGCTAAACCCGGAGGATTATACAGCGCCTGGGGGGGGATGTGGAAGGCATTCAGGCTTAATTCGGGGAACTGGAGCACAGATCCAATTCCCTAAATCAAGAGCCCCTCACCAACATCAAGGAACCTTCCTTGAGGGGAGCAGGTAGGTAGCACTGTAGCAGGTAGGTGGCACTGTAGCAGGTAGGTGGCACTGTAGCAGGTGGGTAGCACTGTAGCAGGTCTCGAGTGTGGATGTGAATCATTAGTGAACTTTCTTTTTTTGGTTATAGTAGGAGGATTAATGGTTTTGCTAAATTAAAGGTCCTTGATTTTGCTGCACGGTATCTTTGGTGCACATTTAGGCAGATTCCAGGTATCTATCTATTTATTGTAGTCTGCCTTAGTCACTAATTAGGTGACTTTCCAGTACATCAGGAGTGTAGACATTTTTATGTGTGAAACCTAGGCATTGCTAGTGTTGTGTGTTCTGCACTCATACTGGAGTTCCTGTATTTTGGGTACTAGACTACGAGACGTCTCACCTACTTATTTCTTGTGGCATATCCCGCAAGCTATAGTGCTCACCTCGGTATTACTGTGGTCGAGCGGTTGAGAATGGATCTTCCAGAAATCCTTCCAAGACTTTGTGGAGCTTACGAAACTCTGCGTAATTTCCTTTTCTTTGGTGATTCTATTTACATAGAGAAATTCGGCATGACAATGATGCCCTCCATTAATACAGTGTTTTGGCGAATTTATATGTGTAATCATTGGAGATCAACATATTACTTTCCTACATTATCCCCATAACAGCCACGTTACTTCACTACATTATATTGACGATTTTATCAGAGGTCTCAGAAGGCTCAGTCTTAGCCTCGGTGCGGTTAAATCATCTTTAGTGTTCTTGAGGAAGAACATAATCCTCATCAAGTGATATTGCCACTTCAAATTCAAAATATGCAAAAAGCGATCTCAACTATGATAATTCTCACTACGACTACAGAACTTAAATGGGAAACACTTAAAAATTTTTACCTCGAAATCTAACAGGAACTGAAGCTCGGAATATATTAAGAAAGAATGCGACGTCATTAAAACCCCTCCCCAAAAGCAACAAATGAGTCTCAAACCTTGGGAGAAACAAATCCAACTATCCAGAAGCCTATAAAGAAGGGGTTAACACCATACCTTGCACTTAATACGAGAAGAAATATGTAGGCGAAACTTCTCTCAGTCTGGAATCCAGGATACAAGATCATCAGCACTAATACATAAGGAACATCACTAGTAATACCTTTTTTGAAGTTGTGGAATGATGCCCATCTAATGACCAAGGAAAGAGATCAAAAATGAAGCAGATACCTGAAATGCGCCCTAATCACGGACAATATCTATCAGCGGTATCAGAGAGTTGTGAGCGTAGCAAAACCCTTTGTCTCTCGCCTATTATATGCAGAGAAACGGTTAACTGATTGTCCACACGAGCACACGAGATACAGAAATCCTCCTGCAGTGTCGTGTAAATAACACTGGTGGTATATACTGACAAATAAGTGAATAAATCACATTATACGGTTTATGACATTTTTTGAGAAGACGTTTCGTCCACCAGGAACATCCCTTGTGGGTGAAATATTTTCTCAACATGTCATAAATCACATATTGGGTCTCATGCACATACTCCTTCGGTGCTCCCTGACCACTCGTCCACTCACTTGTTTGCACCTGACTTTATGAGGAATGAGACACATGAAACATCTGGGTATCTGTGTATTGAAGATGCTTGGCCAACCAGTGGCTTTATTAATTCATTATAGAGGTAATTTGAAGATGAGTTAATACACAGAATATATTAAAATTTGAGGTAATTAGCACCTTATCTTGGAAGACTGTTTTTCGGTACCTTAGTCTTGATGAATGTGAAGCATAAACAGGAAGATGAACTTTCATATACTGGAGTCAAATAAGGGGCAACAGTTGAAGCCACGTCTCTCGTGGGCGTGACCCTTTAGTGGATATTCAGTCATAGTCAAGAGTTGGGCCAGAACTTAGTAAATAGGTTGCAGGAAATATCCTCTGTACCAAGATTCGGCAGTATTGCTGTGTCAGACGAGTATCATTACATAATTGGTTTACAGTTCCGACAAGATAAGAAAGTATACATACACAACACCTGGGTAATTTTATCTGATGACGTTAACCTCTGAACTGGACAGATAAAGCCACTAGTTTTCAATACGTGTTCATATAAAGATACCCAGGTCTGGCACATGTGTCCTCTTCCTCGTCTTAGCTGCTGTGTGTGCCAGTATTGTATATACCTTATATGCTTGCTGTTCAATAGTTTCTATTGACTTAATAGGCCTATAAGTTAGGCGACATGTCATTTCAATTAAATTTCAGTTTTGCATTTGTCTATTTCAACCACGGTGTTGTATTCAAATCATGTTCGATACTATAGAATGAAGTATCACTGGAAGAAATTAAGATGTCCTGCTACGTGGGTTTTGCAAAATATGAGAATAAATTATCTCTTTTTCTATTAACTCTGAAGCTCAGTACTTGTGTCATCCTTAAAACAAAGATTTTGTATTGTACTTAGGCAACGGAGACTTCTGGTGGCTGTTATTGAAACCCCAGTTTTTTTTTTTAAGGGAAATGAATGTGAACTTTACTGAGATCTATAATGGACACATGTTTTTTTTTTTTTTTTTTTTTTTGCAAATTAAACGATACAAGATTAAACGCTAAAAAAAATAGGATTAGTTTGTATTATATTATTGCAATATAATACATAAATATTTGGCTTTCAGAGTCTCTAAAAGTGTCTATATTGAGTCATGCTTTCATGTTCTTACTGTCTATTTGTTTTTTTTATCTAAAATATTGATCAGAAATCAAAATAATTCTACAATAAGTGACAGAATATGAAAACATTTGCATAAAAATTATGTAATAAAGATTTTTAAATATTTATGTATAATTAAATATCATTAACTCAAAAATTTCTTTGTTGTGAAAGTCCAGCCCAACAGATGGCAGTATAAAGTATGTATGAGTGAAACAAAGAGCTGCCCTCTCATACTGTCTAGGGTAGTAGACGTCGCCACCCAACTGTTGTAAAATATCTAACCAAGTGTTCTCTGTATGATGATACTTGTATTCAAGTGTTCTCTGTATGATGGTACTTGTATTCAAGTGTTCTCTGTATGATGGTACTTGTATTCAAGTGTTCTCTGTATGATGGTACTTGTATTCAAGTGTTCTCTGTATGATGGTACTTGTATTCAAGTGTTCTCTGTATGATAATTGTATTCAAGTGTTCTCTGTATGATGATACTTGTATTCAAGTGTTCTCTGTATGATGATACTTGTATTCAAGTGTTCTCTGTATGATGATACTTGTATTCAAATGTTCTCTGTATGATGATGCTTGTATTCAAGTGTTCTCTGTATGATAATAATTGTATTCAAGTGTTCTCTGTATGATGATACTTGTATTCAAGTGTTCTCTGTATGATGATGCTTGTATTCAAGTGTTCTCTGTATGATGGTACTTGTATTCAAGTGTTCTCTGTATGATGATACTTGTATTCAAGTGTTCTCTGTATGATAATTGTATTCAAGTGTTCTCTGTATGATGATGCTTGTATTCAAGTGTTCTCTGTATGATGGTGCTTGTATTCAAGTGTTCTCTGTATGATGGTACTTGTATTCAAGTGTTCTCTGTATGATGATACTTGTATTCAAGTGTTCTCTGTATGATGGTGCTTGTATTCAAGTGTTCTCTGTATGATGGTGCTTGTATTCAAGTGTTCTCTCTATGATAATAATTGTATTCAAGTGTCCTCTGTATGATGGTGCTTGTATTCAAGTGTTCTCTCTATGATAATAATTGTATTCAAGTGTTCTCTGTATGATGATACTTGTATTCAAGTGTCCTCTGTATGATGATACTTGTATTCAAGTGTTCTCTGTATGATGATGCTTGTATTCAAGTGTTCTCTGTATGATGATACTTGTATTCAAGTGTCCTCTGTATGATGATACTTGTATTCAAGTGTTCTCTGTATGATGATGCTTGTATTCAAGTGTTCTCTGTATGATGGTGCTTGTATTCAAGTGTCCTCTGTATGATGATACTTGTATTCAAGTGTTCTCTCTATGATAATAATTGTATTCAAGTGTTCTCTGTATGATGATACTTGTATTCAAGTGTCCTCTGTATGATGATACTTGTATTCAAGTGTTCTCTCTATGATAATAATTGTATTCAAGTGTTCTCTGTATGATGATACTTGTATTCAAGTGTCCTCTGTATGATGATACTTGTATTCAAGTGTTCTCTGTATGATGATGCTTGTATTCAAGTGTTCTCTGTATGATGATACTTAAGTGTTTTCTGTATGACTGCGCATCTTTTCAGATGTTTTGTGCACTATGTTTTATTTAATCAATATTTTTCGACATTTCGTAACATGTGTTGTGCTTTGATGCTTCACAGTTTTAGTATCATATTGTAAACATATGATTTTATATTATCACATTATGAGTGATTGACTTATTATTATTATTATTATTCACAAAAAGCGTTATTGTAATCTTGTTTATATGGTACGTGTCTTAGCTCATGTGATCATTGACGTTTTCTTCACCTCGCGTGACCTTTGAGGTTCGTCTCGGCTCGCTTGACCTTTGGGAATTAAAGAATTAGTCTAGACTTTATATAACATGTTTATTTGTATGTTTTGAAACAAAAATGTTTATAACATTTATATATATATATATCTCTTATTAAAATAGTTTATATTACTGGAAGTTATTGTTTGCTGATAGATCATAAGATTAAAATACTAAATACCCATGAAAATGGACTAAAATTGGATGACTAAATTGTGCTTTCAAAAAATAAATAAAACATTGTTATAGCATTTTTAACAGCTAAATTAATAATCATTTTCCTTTTTTATATTTTTACTATATTGCACTTATTTTTTTTTTACTCTTTTGGTGAATTAGAGTTCAAAGTATTTTGTTACTGTATATTGCTAACGTTTCTGATGTATCTCAGTTTGTCGTCTTCCGTATCTTCTCTGTGTTAACTCGTCTACCGTATCTCTTCATCTCCGTTCTTTCACTGTGTTCCTTCACTGTCTATCATTCCAGTCTCCTGGTTCTTTTCATCTCCATCATGAGCAAATCTTGCCTTTCGATGTCTTCTTTAATCCTCTTTTTCTATATTTCAAGCTTAATTCTTCTTCTCCCCCTTATTTCGATTAATACTGTATTTGAACTTTTTCTTTCTTCCTCTCTCCTTTGGCCTTCCTCTCTTTTCTTCTTGAGCCTCTTCATCAGTTTTTTGCATGTCCACCATCACCTGCTTCTACTTTTTCCTCTCTATCTTCCGTCGCCCCTTTCAAGTCATCCATTGCCTCTTCGTTCCATTTTCCTTCACCTCCCTTCCTGTTAGTGGTGTTCTCGTCTAGTATTTCTTACAGTGGAAACAGTCGCAGGTACTGGCAGACTTGAAGACCAACTCGCGGGGTCCCTCTATGCACATCACTCGCACCTTCACCTGCAACAAGTACCAAGTGTCAATCAGTCGATATCACACTGACATGATCTAAAAATACTGCATTTAATAATTAGGCTTAGAACGTATTAAGGTTTCATTTAACCTGAATATTTAACATCTGAAGAGAATCACATATGGTATTCATAGGTATTCACATGGACACTAATATCTTATTGTTCAATAAATATGGCAACTTAGGACAAACACCTCAAACTAATTAAAATCTACTAAGGACACCAACTCAGAATCCAGTCTAAAGAAGAATTCTCTTATCTCAAGAGGCTAATATTCTAATATACATCAGCATATTAAGTTCGATGACATTCAGATTTTGTACTGTCGAGCTAGACAATCAGTATTTAAATCTTGCCAATTTCTTTCATAAAAAAAATTGGGACCATCAGTGGCCTAAATCATTCCAAAAAATTCTGTGAAATTTACGACCTGGTCAGAATCATGTAGGTTACGTGCAAGTATTTAAAATTAAATATATTGATTTAACCTAGGAGAATCAAATAAAATCAAATACTGTGATTTATTTCTGACCAGAAGAGACATTTTCCAGTTATTTCACTGAAACCAGTTTGGTTAATAAAAGTAGCATATTGAAACTTAAATAACGTAAAATCAAGGCTTAGATTCCAATAAGGAAAACACCGCAGCACTAAAGTTGAAAGTCGATCAGAAGAAACATTCTCCAGCTATTGCACAGAATTCAGTAAAATACTCACTGCACATCCTAAGAAATTTTTTTTTCGTCTATTTCATAAGATGAATGAACCATTATAAATTGAAACTCTTTACAATTGTTGTATTGTGATGAGAGAAAAACACTGAACCAGCAGGAGTAATACAGCTCCTGTGGAATGTGATGCATTCAGATTCTATTCAAGGAAGATGATGAGTCCAGTTCCTTGGATCAAGAGCCCCTAACCAACATCAAGGCAAAATAACGCAATAAAGTAAAATAATACTATGCCATTTCTTGAATAAGCGTAGCAAAATGGCGCCCAGATACTTTTAACAATAGCAACCATCTTCTGGGGAGGATACACCAGTTTTGAAATTAAACTGAATGGACATTTTCCTCACTTATCATACGGAAACAAAATCTGGGAATAGCCTATTTAACATTTTCCATTGGACAACCACACACATAAATACTCCTGTGAATCTTGCGTACGTATAGTACACCTTTGCTGAAAATCTAAAGTTGTAAACGAAAATTTTGGAGTTAGAAATGAAAAATGTTGCTGAGAAATGTTACGAAAATAAAAAAATATATTTTCATTTAATTCAAGAAAGCCATTAAGATACGTATTTTTATTTTTTTCAACTTTCTTTTCTCATTTATATTTAATTTTAAATTATCTACAATCCCATAAGAAAAAAAATTTGATTATCATTTTTAAAGAAAATTAAATTTGATGAAATTGCTTTAAAGAATTAACAAACTGACAACTACATAGCCCAAAATTAATAAACATATTTCCAATTTAAATACACCAGAGCTTAGAGTTGGAAGCTCATCAGAAAAAGCATTCTCAGGTTAATATATAAGAAATTATTTAAAAAAAATGGCAAATTAGATTTTACAGTCCCAAGTGAGCTACAAGATTTGTTTTAATAAAGTTCAACAAATGTGAAATTTGAAGCCGATCAGGAATGGCATTCTGCGCTAATTGATCTTATTTGGCAATTCAAAGTTTTCTTTTAACAACTTCAGTAAAATATCAAATATGCACTTTCTCATACTTATAAGGCCTGATCATCCTTACACAATATATGATCAGTAATATTTTGAAGCCGATCAGATGAAGCATAAGTTAAATATTGAATATGAAGGAATTTCACTATTCAGTTAAATTATCTTTCATAAAATCACACTAGTGATGAAAATTTGAAGCCGATCAAACGAGGCGTTTCCAGTTATGGTACAGAGCCAAGCGATTCCAAGTTTTTGTCTCGACTAATTATACTACAAATTTTTCTGCAGACAAAATGGGTAATGCAGTACGATGCATTATCCATTAAATACAGAAACCGTACAGAAAAGGCAAACTGAAATTTGTTTAATGTGATTTAAAGGGAATAATTTTTTTACACACCTGGAGTGAAATTCTGACGATGGTGGGAATGACTTCAACAACTTTGGTTATTGGATCTGTACTTGTCAAGTGTTGGAAGAACCTGACCCGAGTGACCGTGCACAAGCTTTGAAATTTTGAAGCACTTTGGATGAGGATTTCTCTCTGAACGCTTGTGCACGGTCACTGGGCCATTTTCATGGAACATTTGGCACTTGCAGCTGGATTATGACCCAAGTTCTTGAACCCATTTACAGCATATTGTAATGGCTGGGATAACTTCTCAAACCCTTAGTAATGTTGCTTGGAAGGTTTCAATAAGGCGCCTCCTAATGTGACGACAGCCGAGAAAACTGAAGTATATAGGTACAGATTTGACCATTTTATAAGTAAAATAATGTGAAATTTTTATTTCCGTAAAAACGTCAAATAAATTACAGTTTACTTCTTTTGAACGTCTTCAACACTTAATGGCAGATACATCTTAGCGGCTGGATAGTACCACTTAAGTTTTGTTTGCGATCAGGTAAATTTGTTGCAGTGAAAATTTAAAAAATTTGGAATCGTTGGAATACGTTCCATAACTGGAGAATGACTCAAGTGATCGGCTTCAAATTTTCACCACTGATGAGGGTTCCTGAACGAAAAGTTTTTATGCAGTTATTGGGTGCGAAAAGTCCCTTTTTAATTGATTATATTATGATGCTAATTTATATTCAATAACTAAAGAAAGTTTCTCCTGACCAGTTCCAAAATATTAAAGAAGTGTTCAATAAGAAATATTATGTGATGTAAATGGTTTACAAAACCGACAAAGATAATATTCTGTTAGTTAAGTCTGAGTTGGTGCAAATTAGAAATTTTACTAAATTGGTTAAATATCTTGGAATTGCTTTTCTGATCGTCTCCCAACTTAAATGTTTGTGGTCTTCATTAAATGTAACCTTGGAGTTCACTCACAGCTCTGTAAATTTCAATATGTTAATTTTACTAAATATATTGATTCCCAGATAATAATTATAGAAGGTCTCTTCTCATCGGTCTAACGCCATAAATGCGTGTTTAACTTAACTAAAAGTTTTGTATTGATTTTTTAAGGAGTTTGCAAATTTACCGAGGCTCGACTTTACTATTTTCATGATAAAAGTGCCCCTTCAGTTTGGCTTCAAAATTGGTGACTTCTAATAAAAAGTGTGAATTAGAATTTGGCTGTTTATGAGAATATGACATTTTTATTGAAGGAATTGTGATAATTTTCATGTGATGATTTTGTGAATGCCTTTTTCTGATTAATTTCCATATGATGACATGTGAATCTCTCGTCCGATTCTCTTTACATCTTCAGTGTTGATAAATAAATGCATTACAAAATTATGCGGCACTCTGCACTATTCCTATAGCATGCACCGAGGTTCAGGGTATCTGGGTTATCCAATTCTGGGGCACCGTTTCCGTCTGACAGCCACCGAAATATATTTAATTAAAATTCGAGATAAGTGACGTAGAGAGGTGTACCGGGACTCTAATAAATAACAGGAAATTAAAAAATCAGAATAATAAAAAAAAACAATACATGTACAGTCATTCAGCACCGTAATTCCCAAACATTGAAAAAACAAATCACATTTTTTTCATATTTAGGGAAATGCTCAAAAAAAACTTCTAAATCGTGATAAATCGTTGATAAATGTTCTACAGAGTGGAAGATATTTTATTTTATTACTGGAGTAATAAAAGCAGCTGTGTTTATGCATATACACACACACACACACACACACACACACCAAAACACACACACACACACACAAAACACATATATATATATATATATTATAATATATATATATATATATATTATTATATAAAATATTATAGAAAGATCGCAGCCAGCAGGGTTCGAGGCAGCGTGATCCAAAAAGAAAGAAAATCCCCCAAAACAAAATACTTATATCATTTAACACTTTCGCCTCTTTCATACATAATCAATGTTTTTGCAGAGGCGCCCAGGTACAACAATTGAGAAGCATATACTATAAAGGTATACAACATATCCCTCCAAACTGCTAATATCCCAAACCTCTTCTTTAAAGTGCAGGCATTGTACTTCCCATTTCCAGGACTCAAGTCCGGTTATATAAAAATAACCAGTTACCCTGAATCCCTTCACTAAATATTACCTTGCTCACACTCCAACAGCTCGTAAGGTCCCAAATACCATTTGTCTCCATTTACTCCTATCTAACACGCTCACGCACGCCTGCTGTAATTCCATTCCCTCGTACACAATACCCCCTCCCTCCATCCTTTACGAGGACGACCCCTACCCTGCCTTCCTTCCCCTATATATTTATACGCTCTCCATGTCATTCTACTTTGATCCATTCGCTCTAAATGACCAAACCACCTCAACAATCCTTCTTCAGCCCTCTGACTAATACTTTTATTAACTCCACACCTTCTCCTAATTACCACATTCCGAATTTTCTGCATAATATTTACACCACACATTTTTTTTGTCTCCACATATACCTCAACGCACCACTCACCTTTTTTCCTTCATCAATTCTATGGTTAACCTCATCCTTCATACATCCATCCGCTGACAAATCAACTCCCAAATATCTAAAAACATTCACTTCTCCCATACTCCCTCTCCCCAATGTGATATCCAATTTTTCTTTACCTAAATCATTTGATACCCTCATCACCTTATGTTATGCAGGGTTCTGCATGACATCGTAATGTACATATAGTGGAGAAGTGTGCCATAATAGTATGAATATTATAGTTGTAAAGAATAATTTTATAATTGATAATGTGCATTTGGGGTACTGTAAAGTACTCTAACTGTAATTATAAAGAAATTCCGTTAATGATTTATTTTCCAAGGATGTTTAGGTACGCGGAGTAAGC